GTTAAAGTCCTGGTTGATGCTCTCAGACTGGTTTGATCTACAACATGAAGCAAATACAACATCATTTAAATAAGAACATGTAATGCATTGTTGTTATGTTCAAAATGAGAGAAGGGAGTGTTCAACCAACCTGATACAGCATGAACCTGTGAAGAAAATATTTTTTTTGTTACATGGTTTTGTATTGTAAGCTCTTATGGTTCTATTCTATGTAATGAGATATGTGTGTATCAAATAATTATAGAACAAAACATCTAATAATAGAAGGCGAAGGTCTCACCTTTGGACGGTCTGTAGCGATACAACAGGAGCAGAAGAATGATGAGTATGATTCCACAAACCAGCCCAACAATCAACGGTACAGGAGAGGAAGAGCTTTCAGGCCTGGACACTGCTATAATAATGAATAATAACTGTTAATAATCATAAGAAGCACTTTTATGATGCTGAATGTGCTTAAATAGAGATGAGAGTCATGTCACATCAAGACACAAAACAAAATATATGCATACATTTACAAGATCCGGTTTCATTGCTATAGTTGGATACACAAATAGACATTTACAAAACAATATAAAATCCTGCCAGAAGAGTCTGACATTTACAATACATCATCAATTATAGCCACTGATGCAGAATTTGTTCAACTCAGAAGGAAACAGCTGATCCAAAAGGTGAACTCGTTTGAAACGAAAGCTATTTCAAATTCAGCTCAGTATTTGCCTCTACGTTTCTTTTTCAGACAGAAACACAGTTTACATGAAAGAAAATGCAGAACATGTTTTAATCCTACTCACCATTAACTGACATCCAACTCTGTGCTGACACTTGTTGTGAGTATTGACACTTGTAGAAACCCTCATCTGACTTTGACACTGCAGAGATATTCAGCTCCCTTCTGGTATCATTTTGAATGAGTTTCTCATTTAGATAGAAAAACACATTGGACTCAAATGTTTGTCTTCTCAATCTGCAGCTCAGACTAACAGAATCTCCCTCAGTCACAGGATGGACAGGGCTCACCAGGATAATATCTGTTTCTGTAAAACAGTCAAAGAATATGAGGTTTCAGTCAGATCAGCTGGTTGAGAAAATATCACACATTAGTGATGCTCGGGCCGACGCGTAACCCGCGGGTCGGGTTGGGTCGGGTCAAGAAATGTTAACTTTATTGGTGGGGCGGGTCATTAAGAATTACATTTGTCCAATACAGCTTACTTCTTAACAACACTGTTGGGTAAATCCACCTGCGACCTGACGTCACAAAAGCGCCTATATATTTATCTTTATTAAGATTTTAATTTGTTGTTGCCAGTTTCGAGTGCCACTCGAAAGGCTGTTTTCAAGCACATTTGTAAGACCAAATAAATGCCTTATTTAATGACATATTTAACGTGTATTTAATAGCGGCGGGGCGGGGTGGGGCGGGTTGTGAAAATAGATGCGGTTCTGCGGGGCGGGATGGAGCGGGTCAAATTATTAAATAAATGCGGGACCCGCAGGTTAGAAAAAACCCCGACCCGCGCATCACTATCACACATCACTGATATATTTTACAGAGTGATCATAAACTCTGATGTTTCATCTTGAGATATGAGATAAAAGCTTGGACTGCGCTGATATACATGGTTAAAATCACAGCTTTATTAAACCCTTAACTATGTAAATTAATTAATTTAATAATTATTAGTTTAAATTATTTGGTGGAAGCCAGTTTAAATTAATAATGAAGTAGTGGTTTACAAAATGCTCTACCTCAGCGAAACACTGGTAAACAAATAGTTGATGTTACTGCTACAAAAATTCCAGTCCAGATTTTTGGTTGCAGTTAACCCTTTCTTAAATTTATATTCTTTAGCATTACCTGTGTTTGACCAGCACCTGACTGAATTATACTTCTGTACTGAGAACTTTTGAATGTCTACCTTTTATTATATTTTTAATAATAATAATATTAAAAAAATTTTGGGCTTTTTGAGCAATTGGTTAAATTATAACATTTGGTTTTTTTTTTTGTGTAAGGTGTGTAAATGTTGATCTATTTAATAATCTAATAACATCAAATTGTCATAAGATAGGCTGATAGAATGTATGTTTAAGATTAAGTATAAAGGAAAAAGAAAATATAATGAAACCATACTCTGTATAGTGATGTTGACGGCGTTGCTGAACTCTCCTGATCCAGACTCACACCAGTACACTGCATCACTCTGCTGGTTACTGTATATGTTGCATGTGGATCCAGTCATTCTCCCCCAGGAGGAGCAGTGTGAAAGGTAGCTGTTTTCAGTAAACCTCCTCACTCTCCACTCAGTAGAGTTTCCCTTACAGTTCACTGAGACAGAGTCAGAGGTGAAGTGTTGCACTCTGTCAGGACTCACTGTGAGAGACGCTGATGGATGAAAATCTGAAAAACAACATGTAATAATGGATCAAACAGAGCACAGGGTTTTTAAGATTAATAATGTCAATATTTTTTGCTTCTATTTTTTTTATTGTTGAGGATTAGTGCAAACATTGCAACACAGTGCAGTGATTTTGGTCAAACTATGATTTCCATGATTTTATTGAAAGCTTACTACCAGATGATTACATTTAAAATGACAAATGTTCTACTTTTACTTGTAATAAGGAGACAAGAAAATTCTGCCCAGTCCAGTATGTAAAACCACCCAGTAAGGTGGAAAGCTGGAAATATCATAAGGTCACAGTATCAATACATTTCTTTCATTTGGGCCATGACTGTACACAGCATAACATCTACTTCTTGAGAAAACAGACAGAAACAAACTTACCTCCAGACCAGACAAACTTGGGTTTACTATAATCAGTGTAATACACTGGATCTCCTCTTCCAGCTCTGCACTTATATCCTGCTGTGTGTGTCGGTCCATGTACGATGTAGGAATCCTGTTCAGTCCCATTGCTGCTGCCAGGTAGCAGCTCAGAGCTGTAGTAGTATGGTAGATCCGGAACAGTCTTATACCAGTAGAACCTCCATCCTGCAGATGGATGGTCAACCTCACAGTTCAGAGTTACAGAGTCCCCAGGACTCAGCCATAATGGAGACACAGTGAGGACAGGCTGAGGTTTATCTGTTGAAAAAATTTCAGAATGAAAAATTGTATGATCTTTTTCTTTAAATTTATTAAAAAAAAATTTTTTTTTTTTTTAAAAATTTTTTTTTTTTTAAACCCCCTTTTTTTTTTTTTTAATTATTTTTTTTAAAAAATTTTTTTTTTTTCCCCAGGGAAAAAAATAGTTGAATTTGAGACTTTAACTTGTCAATGATATTGTTAATATTAACATTGAATTTACTTTATACACAGTTTCAGACCATAATTTAAACACATTGTTTAATTCTGGCAAATTAGCTCTGTTGCTGTGTTTCTGGTCTGCATCTCTACTGTTGTATATCACTTTGCTGCTTGACCACTGAAAACTACATTAGTGAAGGCAGAAACCTGTGTTTGAGGTTTGAAGAGTTTTTTTTTTTTTTTTTTTTTTTTTTTTTTTTTTTTTTTTTTTTTTTTTTTTTTTTTTTTTTTTTTTTTTTTTTTGGGGGGTGGGGGGGTTTTTTTTTCTCTTCTTTTTTTTAATAAAAAAAAGGGGGTTACACACTGTATAGGTTATCAATCTATCAAGTGTTAACACATACAGACAACCATTACACTAACACCTACAGGCAATGTACATTAGCCAATGAGGTCATTAATCCAAACTAACCTGTGAGTTAACTCAACCAATTGTCCAAAAGTTACCTTCACACCCTGAACCTTCTTCCTGTGGGGGAACAGTGTTAAACTGCACCATCATTCCACCCTATAAGTTACTTGAATATTATTTGTTCATTCCTGTTTATTTCTGCACTTTTCTATACTTAAAAAAGTATTATTTTGTTTCCACACAAAAAGCAAACATAATTTCTTACTGAGCTACCTGTGAGTACTTTATTATTGTTGGGGGGAGAATTGTTTCCTGTTGTTTTATTTAGATAAATGAAAATATAAAACAAACATGACATCTTTAGTGTGAATAACAGAGTATGAACTCACCTGATACATTCAATCTGATGGCATTACTCCACTCTGTTGAGGAATATGAGTCCTTTCTACCCTTACACCTGTATATTCCACTGTGAGACCACTGAGCAATAATCCTGTATTCACTGTGTGTTGTAGACTTTGTGTTTGAGCTGGATGTTCTCCATTCATACGTCCACTGAGTGTCTCCACCTCGCCCGATCTCACATCTGAAAGTGATCGTCTCACCACTGAATATCTGAGGCCAGTTGGGTTCAAGGGTCAAAATGGCCCTGTTGGGAACTGTTGACAGAAAAAATATCCAGTTTGGAAACAAACAGGATTAAAAACTAAACAAGCAAAAGATAATTGTTTTCCTCTAAAATACAAATTGTAATTACATGAATGCATGTTGTTGTATTCTGCAGCAAATTGTAAAGAACAAATACAACTAAACAGCTATAATGTTATAATTTATTTAAAAGAAAATACTCAAAGGTCAGTAGTAGTAGTAGTGCCAAGCAGTGTTAATAGTATCAAAATACTGGTATCCTTCCACAGGATGCATTTACTGACCCCAGCAATATGGAAAAACATTTAGTTGTAAGTGTTGTGTTTAATGTCTAGTTTATCATGCAGGTTGGTTTCGGAAGATTTTTATTTAACATACAGATTTAAAGTTCATGCAACTTAAAATCTTCATAAAATAAACAAATGTTGTAATTTAAAATAACTCTTTAAATAACCCTGTAAATCTAGAGAAATGTTATATTTCTATATTTTTAACCAATATTACTGATTATATTATTCAGTGACGGGGAAGAGGGACTACAAATCCACAAATCTCCCTTCTGCCAGTCAACCTGTTCAGTAACTTTCATTTTTTCCTACTGTACCAAAATGAGTATTTTCTTCACTACTGATCACAGATTTATATAATACGTATTGTATTATTCCAGAACAAATAACTAAACTCACCAGTTGCCTGAATGGTGACTTTATTGCTGTTCTCTGTGAAGAACAGTGGATCTCCTCTTCCTCCTCTGCAGTGGTAGAGACCTCCTTGTGAGACACTGATAACTCTATCTGGTACAACATCCCTTATGGGCTGAGCTTCAGAAGAGTCTGATGTACATTTGAACCAGTAGTATTTCCAGTCAGCAGAGCCCCTCACAGAACAGGTCAGTGTCACAGTGCCCCCTACTGGTATGATGGTTTTGTGTGCTGTCAGTGTGGGTTTAGGTTTATTCGCTGTTCAGTTTAGAGAAAAAACAAAACAAGTAAATCACTTGAATAAAATTTCCCTCAAATGTATTTTTACTTCATAACAGACTTAAAAACACACTTCTAAATACTTGTACTCTGCACAACTAAATCATAAGAAACTTTACATGCGACATATGGCTCTTATTGGTCAACAGTTACCACATTGCTAACTAGTTACTGTTATTGTATTATTCGTGCAGTTGTTCATTGGACACAGAATAGTTATGTTAAACATTTATAGTTCCCATACAGAATGTTCACAGCTTGGTGTCCTGTTGATGAGTTCAGCAGAGATTAAATGGGATTTATTCATCACTTGGACAACAACTGCATAGTTCTCTGTTCTTCCTTGATCATTAGAATTCAACAGTACAATGTATGCTGGTTCCTCTAAAGTTGTTCTTTTTCACACTATTTTTCACACAATTTCTTACTGAGCTGCTCTTTCATTTGGACAAATAAAAACATAAAAACATGACATTTTTAGTGTGAATAATAACAGTCCAACTTACGTGATACATTCAATCTGATGGCCTTACTCCAGTCTGTTGAGGAATATGAGTCCCTTCTACCCTTACACCTGTAGTCTCCACTGTGGGACCACTGAGCACTGATAATCCTGTATTCACTGTGTGTTGGAGACTGTGTGTTTGAGCTGGTTGGTTCCCATTCATACGTCCACTGAGTGTTTCTAACTCCATCAATCTCACATCTATGAGTGATCGTCTCACCACTGAATATCTGAGGCCAGTTGGGTTGAAGAGTCAAACTGGCCCTGTTGGGAACTGTTGACATAAAAAAATATCCAAGCTCAAAAACGGTTTAAAGTTCATGCAACCTAAAATCTTTATCAAAATTTTTACCTTCCAGCACAATTTGTCATCTCAGCTCCTGTAAAACATTCAGCAGAACTACATATTTTACAGATATTTAAAAATAAAACTGAACTACATCCGCTCCTCTATTGTGTCTGTTCAAAAACTGAAGAAGATCAAACAAATATTCAATTTATACCGTGATGAACAATATAATACCTACTCCAATTCCAACAAATGATACTGAGCTAACATCATTTATTCATTAGAGTTCTTCTTTTTTTCTTTTAACTAACAATGGCTTTCCTAAACACCTTAGGCATTGTTTAAGAACATTAAGTATGTATGTTGTTTCATTCCAGAGAAAATTAATAAACTCACCAGTTTCCTGAATGGTGACTGCATTACTTTCAGGTGTGAGGACTTCTGGTTCCCTTCTCCATCCTCTGCAGGTGTATCTGCCTCCAAGTGTGATAACTGTGTGTGAGTCATCAAGGTTTGCGGTCTGAAGACGAGTTTTTGTGTATGTGTCTGACGTCTGTCTGAACCATTCATATTTGAAGCCAGCAGGATTCTCCACAGAGCATGTCAGTGTCACACTGCCCCCCAGTGGTATGATTGTCTTGTCTGCTGTCAGTGTGACCTCACGTCTATGTGCTGTTTAGTTAAATAAAATAAAAAAAGAATAAAACAGGGAGGTTACTGTAATGAACATGCTGTTAAAATGTTCTTTACATTTTGACACAACACATTATAAACCCTCATTGTTTAGATTCACTGTTACATAATGGAACTCCAGACATGTGTGATTCTACATGAGAGAACAACACACTGCAGCTTAAGAAACAGATGCAAATAGAAAGAACACAAGCGACATAGCAAACACATTGAACAGTTAGCTGCTTAAAACAAAATAAAAAAAGAACTAAATAAATTAATAAAGAACTAAGTTTAATGTAATGTTTTTTAACTGTATCATGAACATTCACATTAAGTTGTATTTCAAAGAAGCTGTAGACATCACACTTAATTATTAATTATATGTTTACTCCATAAACGTACATTTACCAGTTTCTTAAAAACAGCTGCCCTGTTTGTTACATTACTGTAACAGTTATATGATATTGTTTTTGCAGGTCACATAGAGGACTTGACTTTTAGAAAGAAACATCTAATAGTTTCGAACTATTGTTGTGAACGCTGATCTATGATCTATATAAATATCTTGATGTCATTTTCCCTCATCATGTCAGTTTATCATCATGTGTGCTGAGTTTCATACCACATGCTTTCTGAGAAATTACAACTGAAGCCAGTCGAGGTTTAACATTTCAAATCCAAAAAATTAGAATTGAGATTATATTTATGTTCATACATCATATAAATACAGTGCATATACACCGACCAGCCACAATATTACGACCACTGACAGTGAGTAACACTGATTATCTGGTTATCATGGCTCCTGTCAGTGGGTGGGATATATTAGGCAGCAAGTGAACATTTTGTCCTCATGTTGATGTGTTAGAAGCAGGAAAAATGGGCAGCATGAGGATTTGAGCGACTTTGACAAGGGCCACATTGTGATGGATAAACGACTGGGTCAGAGCATCTCCAAAACTGCAGCTCCTGTGGGGTGTTCCTGGTCTGCAGAGGTCAGTACCTATCAAAAGTGGTCCAAGGAAGGAAAAGCAGTGAACTAGAGACAGGGTCATGTGTGGCAAAGGCTCACTGATGCACTGGGGAGTGAAGGCTGGCTCGTGTCGTCTGATCCAACAGGCGAGCTACTGTAGCTCAAACTGCTGAAAAAGTTCTGATAGAAAGGGGTTAGAACACACAGTGCATCACAGATTGTTGCTTAGGGGCGGCATAATATCCTCCAGGGTGCCCAGCTGGTCATAGTGTTATGGCTGATCGGTGTAAATATGGCTCATCACCGTAATATTGTTGCTGCTTAACTTGGTGGTATAGTAGAGTTTAGAGACTCATGTTATCTTTCAAGGAGCCTTGAAGCTGTTATGGAGGTTTGTTGTGTCCCAAATACTTTACTAAAACAGTTTAGGTTGGTTTATCATTTGTCACCAATCTGTACGTGAAGCATTTGATGATTTATGACTTTTGCAGCTCCTACAGGTAATACCAAAAACACACTGGCCAGCAAACCATGTCATTACCAAAAAGAGTGAGTGAGTGAATATTTAAAAACAGAAAAAAAACAATTATTCACCTTCAGGATGTCCAGAGAGGAGTGTGTTCAGCACTAAAATAAAAATAAAAACTTCATCAGACAATAATCAAAAAAAGAAATACCATCCAACTATTGTTCAGTTAATCAACAGTATCAAACATTTCTGTGATGATTCTGTGATTTATTAAAGAGGCAGCAAACAACTAAAGATTAAATGTTTTCAAATGAAAAATATAAAATAACAAAAGCAATACAGTTAAATCCAGAGCTATGTACATAACAATATCTTAGACCAGTGGTTCTCAACCTGGGGTGTTCCACAGGGCGTCCTCAGAAAAATAAGGAATAGCCATTATTGTGTTAACTAGAAGTTAGCCCAATGAGAGACTGTATAAGAATGACTCATCTGTTGGTTTCACACTCTTCACTGTTAATCTGCCAATCTACAGTGCACACAGTTAACTACTAAATCTGATGGGGATCAATGAGACATTCAGTTAAATACAGGTCCAGAGCCTGATCAAGTTGTCAGTCCTTGACATCAAAAAGGTTGAGAACCGCTGCCTTAGACCATGTTATATATAATGTATAACATACAGTACATGCATAGTGCCAATATGTGTGTAAAACCTAATGAAAAAATAAGTATTCTTGTAGAGTATATATATATATATAACACCACTCCTCCACTCTGAACCAAACCAAATCAGCAACCAAGTCTATGTTTATAAATCTATAAAACTACCATGTTGATAAAAAAAGTCTTTAAAAGTCATAAAATTAGAAAGTCACTGATGTACTCACAGAACAACCCCAGCACACAGAGCAAAGTGTGCCCCATCCTCACATCCAGCACTGACACTGTCGCTCTGCTGCTCTGCTTCTGAGAAAATGTTTCTACTTTGCAATAATAAAGCAAAGAGAGAGAGAGAGGAGTTACATATCATGGAACTTTTCTTGGTCAACTTCTGTTTCTGAATATAGCCTCATGTCTGTTCTTCCTTCCCTTTTACACAAAACTCATAAGTGCAGTGGCATTGACCACAGCATATTTTGACATGTTCACACTTCCTGCCCACTGACATATATTAGCTTGTCTATGGTGAAAAGGTTTGTTCCTGGACCCTAAAACTGTTTAAAATGTCATAAACGATAAGTAATTATCGCAAATCCATTAAACACAAGACTATTGAATTGAACCATATCACACCATTTATTAACGTTTTATTGTTAATTTGTGCATGTTATGCAGTATTTGCCCTCTGTTCTTGCAGCAGTGCCTGTATTACAATGAGCGTGCTTTGTGTTTATACAGTGCATTCAGGAAGTAATCAGAGTCAGACCCCTTCACCTTTGCAACATTTTATAATGTTGCAGCATTATGCTAAAATTGTTTCCCTCGTTCACTCAATACCCCATAACGACAAAGGGAAAACAGAGACAAATTCAAACAGACATGTGCTTTGGCTCTCTTCACTCTCACTTCTGTTTGTGATACTATTTCAGTTTCGCTCGTGCTCAGTCACTTGCTGCGGGTGGAGTTGTGGTCAAACTTAAAACGAAGAGTTGACATGCAAACATTATGTCCTGGGGTGATGGGATACTTTTCTCTACAATACTGCTGACAACAGGCATCATCACCCAGGACAGCTTCAGTATTCCTGGGTGATCCAGGATCAGCACATTGGACAGCGACAGTAACACAGCAGAATGTTGAGCTGAACCAATTCTTACATATTGCAACTTTCAAGAAAAAAAATTATTAATTTAATTCGGCAAATTTTAAACATCTTAGCAGACATTAATCCAACAGAAAGACCAAATATCAAGACTTAAAATCAGGTGATTTGTGAAACAACAATGTTATAAATCGCTGGTGTTATTGTTTTACAACATTTTATTTTTAATTTTTAAGACTTTATGTGGGCTGCATACTTATAAAATGGTTTAAAGATATCTGTAATTTGAAATGCCTTTTTACCTCATATGTTACTACAATCACTTCAGATACCAAATGCATCAAAGGAAAATCTAATTAAATAAACTGTTGCATGTGTTTTGTTCTGTTGTGCTTAATTGAGATTGAGAACAATTTTAGCAACTGTAAAGTAGCATGTTAAAAAAGAAGTACAATACACAGTCGTACAATATTCTTCATAATCTGCAGTATGTATGGCGAGAGTAAAATAAAAAAGACAAAAACAATTTAGCTTTATGATATATCTGTGAGATGGAAAATAGTCAAAAGACTAATAGGCCACATATATGTGTGTAACATTTCTGAAATTAAACTATTTTGACATTGACTGACATCAATTGAACTGCATGCTGACCCATAATGACCTCCTGTGTAATACTTTCAATACAAACTCTGAGCCTGACCACAGTTCCTATCATCGCATCAGAGTAAACAGAGCTCTCTGGTTCATGCTGCTTCTCTGTGAAGATAATCAGAAAAAAAAATCTTTCTGTCACTTGAGGCCAAAACATCTCAAAATTATTTTCTATTTATTGCAACTATTTGGAGTACTCACCTTGTTTTCAAATGTTTTTAAGTTCAATCGAAGGATATGCGACATCCTGGACATTATCTGCATTTGAAATGTACAGAATTTTTAGTTAGACAATTTTATATTAATCCCTTGTAATCAGTCCCCTTAAATCAGATCAAATTGAGACCTCCATCCCCCTCCCGCTAGCAAAGACATGATGTCAAAAATATGATATAATCTGGCGTGCAAGATTCTTTTTTCTAGTTGTTTCATGTCAATTTAAACTAATGTAAATAAATAATGCATTCAAAACATATTGTGGTGTTTTATCAATGGCCACAAGGTGGAGCTACTGGTGCCATGTTTCAATAAATAGTGCACATGCTTAGGGAGAAGTTGTGTACCAAGTTTCACCTCATCTCATTCAAACAAACTGTACTGGTATTAGAATATATGTACAACATTTACAAAATGGGTTACAATCCAATTTTGTCCTGAAAACTGTGATAAGTACAACCAGCACTGATTGGAATGTCATTATTTTTGCAGGTATTTGGTCATAAACTATTGTTCAAATTTAAAATTTGAGTATAACCAAACACATTGTTGATTATTGTTGATTATTGATGGTGGTAAAAAAACAACACACAACAGTTGATGAGATATTACAGTCAGGACAAAGGTGATATACTGTACCATTTTCAGTGTCATCAGGGCCTTTGATTGATTCATAGAGAGAAACATCACCTACAGAGCAGTGGAAATCAAGACAAGTTCACATGAATCTATTTAATTTCACAATACTAAGTAAGCGTCTTGTGATATGATTGTCTGTTTAAAATATTTAATGAGATATTTCAGTGTGGATCAAAGTGGTGAACCCACTGATAAACATTGCTGTGGTTAGAGCCACAACACCAGTAGTCTCTTAGGATGGTGGCTCAATAGTTAGCACACATCTCCAAACTTGAAGATTG